ATATATATTATTGACATTTTTTAATTTCATAAATATGCGTTATGTTAATTGACTTTTATAGAGAGAGAGAGAGAGAGAGAGAGAGAGAGAAAGGGGAGGGGGGAGAGAGTTTTTATTACATTTATAACTTATTAGTGGCATACTGAAGATGGTCAAATTTTGGTCGAAACATTTATGTAAAATTTTATATCAAAATTTTAAATATATATGACTTTTTGCTATGAAAATCTAACATGTGATGTAACATATGTATACTTTTTGTTATGAATGTCTGTATATTTATATCACTTTTTATTTATTTATTTGAAACTTCTAATTATCGGCCAAATAACAAAATGCTTTAAAATACTCAATTAGGATAACTATCCCTATTAATGTGCCTTTTAGCCAACTTGCTTATTACTGAATTAATTATAAAATATTGTAGCTTTAATTTTACCTGCTTGCAATCAATATCAATTTTTCAACTATTTCTTTTTCTTATAATATTTCCTTAATCTAAAAAATGTTAATACTTTATATTTTTTGATAAAAATAAAAAACATGCTTTTGTCTCTATTAGTGAGTCCTCCATGCGGCGATGGCCCTATTAATGTGCCCTCAATTTATGTGCCTACCCACATTTAACTCATTTTAACATATATCTAAAACAGGTAATAAATTTAAGTTTAATTTTTTAAGTTAAAATATTACATAAATCATTATTTCAATTATATTTATTTCAATGTACACTCATAACACAACGTTCCCAGCTTCAATACAGGGCACATTAATAGGAACAAGCTTAAAATCTTGCGGTATGCATTACTGGATTCATATAAATTCCTCATATCTTTTGAAAAATATTTAAAGTACTTAAATATTCAAAAAATAAAATATCTTCGGTATCGTGTGTATGCATTAATAATTTAACTTAACAAGGAAAAATATTTTTTTTTATTTATTCGTACTAGTTTTCTTTATTGACTTATCAAAATATACAAAACCACGTTAATAGGAACAGGCACAGTAA